CAAAATCAAGTGTTTGACCTTGTGCTTTATTTATAGTCATCGCAAAACATGGTCTAATCAGAAATTGAGTTCTCTTAAATTGTATTGAGTTTCTATCACTTCGAGAAGGTATAAAAGGGATCCTTGGTAAGAAAACATATTTTTCACAATATTCACCAGTTGTAATTTCAACTAAAATAACGTTTTTCTCAAATTTTCGACAAGCAAGGTGTGTTCCATTGCATAACCCTTCAAAAGGATTGATATTCTGCAGTAACATTACAGGACTGTTTATCTTAAGTTTCAATTCATGCGGTGGAATACCATTTGGTGTTAAAGTATTCAAGAAATCTTTTTGCAAGTTTTGTTCTGATTTATCAATTGTTTCATCAAAACTGTAGTATGTAAAAATTTCACCGGGAATTTGTTCAAGTAAAATCCTGTTAATATAATCAACACATTCATTCGTAGGCATTAGAATAACTCTATTTACCATATCACGTAGATTGTCAGCATATGTTTGTATATTTGAAAAAACATGATGTATCAAAATTTTTAAACATGTGATTTCATCTTCAAATGGTAGAATTATACTATTCGGAAGCATAACGCAGTTACAAGTATGTTCTTCTTCTGTTCCATCTCCAATTCTAAGTAAGTACAGAACATAGGATCTAACTTTGCTCTCATATTCTTAACCAATGATAAATGTAAATAGGAAGGCCATAGGTCTGAAAAAACCAAGCTAGCTTTCATTACATCTTTTTTTNTCATATTCTTAACCAATGATAAATGTAAATAGGAAGGCCATAGGTCTGAAAAAACCAAGCTAGCTTTCATTACATCTTTTTTTCCCTCTCGGCACCACTGGTAGAACTTGTCGAAAATCCCCTTCAAAAACTATTACTTTCCCACCGAAAGGCAAGTTACAATCAGAAATATCTTTAAGCATTCTGTCTATAGTTTCAATAGCAGAACGATTTACCATATGTGTTTCATCCTAAATTATTAACCTAGACATTTTCAACAACATTCCTAAAGTTGATTGCTTGCTAACAGAGCAATTCACTTCACCAATTGTTTCCAAAGGAATTTTAAATCTTGAATGAGCTGTGCGGCCTCCAGGCAACAAAGATGCAGCAACTCCAGAGGACACTGTTGCCAAAGCAATGAAATTTTGACTTCTTACACTAATTAGAAGAGCTTTGTATAAAAAAGTCTTCCCTATTCCCCCTGGACCATTAATAAAGAAAGTACCACTTGATTCATTTTTTATTTTTTCCATAACTATATCATATGCAAATCGTTGATCTTTATTTAATTGCTCTACATAATTGAAGGCTCGTTCAATATTGAAATTGATTGTTTTCTCTGCAACCATTCTTGTCAATCTTTGAGTCTCATCTATATTTACGAAGAATGAAACTATTCCGTAATCATTTACGTTTTTAGCTAATGATTCTAATATAGAATTGATGTCTTCCAAAACTTGTATTTCAGCATCTTCAACATATATGTTTCGATGTACATAATCATCAATCATATAGGCTTTATATTTATCCCACAATAGCTTTGGATGATTAGGGCTGCAAAGTGTAAAAAGTGTTGCAAAAAGGCGTCTTAGAGAATTAGGTATTTTGTAAATAATAGCTTCGGATAGACATTCTTCACAACGATTATCCCCTTTTAACAAACCATGTAAAAGTGCTGCTTCTCGATATGTATTAATAGTTACGCCATTTAAAATTTTAAAACTGTCAAATGATGTTGGACCTCTAATATGATTCAGAAGAACACGAAGGAAATATCGTTCTCCTTTAGGTGGATTAACTGTCACAATTCGTCTTATAACAATGTGTTGTTTTCTAGGAGTCCAAACTTTCTCATTTGCATTCCACACAAAATGTGTTGGGAAATCTCGATACAACAATGTTCGAGCAAATTTATTTGCTTCATTCATCCGAAAAAATTCTGTTAACATTGTTCTTCTCGTATACTCATTCCCAATAATAATAGATAAATCATCTTTATTATTGTAAGTTACGTGTTGATGATCTTTAATATGAAGTTGTAAAGTATAAACAGTACGATAAATTTCTGACAAATTGAAAGATTCCATCTAGTTGATTGATAAGCAGAAATTTCATCAATTTCCTTGTTCGTTTCATTTCTGCCTGTGAAACAATTAATACGATCATATCCTTTATACACATATTTGCACAAATACTTTACTGCTTTAATAGAAGAACATACTTCAACGTTAGTATGACAGTCAAATTTTGCACTTAAATAAGGATCATAGGGTACAACCCATCGATTATCTAACATTTGACCTCTCACTTTAATAGAAATACCATTATTACGACGTCTATACAACGGATATGAGTTATCACCAAATATATTACTGTTACAATAATTCTTAGGATATTTATTTTTACAACCACTGCTTGCCAACATACACACATTTTTTGGATTAAGATTTTCACAAAGACCGTGCATATTGTGTTTTGCAATTACAGAATGAAGATGCAAGTATTTATTCTTATTTGGAATTTCACATGACACTATCATATCAACTTGTTCAGCGCAAAAAATTTTATGGGCAGAATTGAAAATCAACAATAAATGTGCATGTGGAAGCCCTCTTTTTTGAAATTCAATCATGTATATATGAGCAATAACTGGGCAAAAATATTTTCTTTGTACAAATCCTTTTTTAATTCTTCTAATTTTGTTATAAATATACGTGCAATTAAATCTGGTCGATTTTGAACTTCGTCATTGTATTTCAGTTCTTCCGTAATTTCAAGCCAATTTGGATTACAAGTTATAGTTAGAAATATATCTGGTTTTCCATAGCGTTGAACGATAGTCATTACATCTAAATATCTTTTGAGCATATCTCTAAGCCCATATGTGAAAGTCTGTGGTAGAACAATCTTCTTACCAATTTTTGACCCTCTTGTTTCTCCATTTTGAATACTATCTACAATACCTTGATAAAGTTCAGCACAAATTTTCTTTTGGTTGCTACGAAAATAGTCTAATCTGGTAGTTTCAATCTTAACGTACATATCTACAACATATTGTTGAAAAAGTCTACCAGTGTGAAGTAACACAGACTTACCAGAAGGTCTAATTTGTAACTTGTAGGAATAGTACTCTCGACAAGAAACCTGAGATCGTTTCTTCATTCCATTGAGCACTGCATGAGGATAAAGAAAATGCATCTTACATCCATCTAGAACACTTACTTTATATAAGTTAGAAAACATACAAAAAAATGTATTAGCAAACCTTCGGCCTCTTTTTCAATGATTTTGGTTGCAAAATTTATTGCGCTAGGAAAAGCTACGCAGTTAGCCAAATTTTGAGTTTCAAAATATGTCTTTTGGTATTTTTAAATACCTTCATGCCAACTAGATTCTCCAAATGGGAAAAGTAAAGGTTATTGCAAAGGATCATAACAACCATAATAATAATGAACCCTATGGGAATCTCTAGAATGACCATATATAGTAATATCATGAGCACGAATATTTGCATTGTCATCATTCTCAACCCATACAACAGCTACTTGAGATGCCGAAGAAGTATTGACAACTCTTTGATCAAGTCCAGGATCGCATCTTATTTGTATTGGATGGTCATGCACATTAGTCATATTACTTAAAGACCTAAAGAATCTACTATATGGATTTACTTTCAAGATTTCAATCAAAATTATCAAAGTAGATTCAACAAAAATTTTTGAAATTTTCATACGATTTTTAAAAATATAATTGCATATAAGAAGACTTATTATTTTCTGGCATAAGTTGATTCACGTAAAGATATACTTGTCCCTGAACTCTGAAAGTGTAAATACCTTTATATGTTCTAAAAAGTTCTTTATCACATTTTACACCAAACGAAGTGAAAGCAAAATGGTTATTATATCCACGTGCAATTTTCTTAAATTCCATGCATTCAGGTTCTTTGGAAGTAAATAAATCATACAATTCAGTCGGTGAATCAGGCACATAAACTTTAACTTTTCCATCAGAACAACAAAACCATTTAGTTTCTCTATAAAATTTTCGTGCACCACAATGTTCGCAGTGGTTCCATGTCGGTAATACATATGCATTAGTTGATATGTTCAATAGGTTAGAAAATCCTCGTACTTTAGAATGAACAATATTAGTCGATTCTTGATTTGAAGTGGAAGCCTGGAAAATAGGAGGAACTGTAAACTTCTGAGCATGGGAAGCACCTAAATTATTTTTTCAAATAATGTAGAATCATTTATCCTTTTACGTTTGAATTCGATTCCTCCTATCCGCCTGTCTTTGATTTTGTCATTGGCGAATAAATGCAGTATATGATTTACTTGTATTTTGAGAAGTACCATCAATGTTACTAAATCTAGATTCTTGATCAGCAGATGTTTTTGAAGAATTTATGGAGAACAAAACTTCACCTCTAATTTAATGAAAACAAAAATTCATTTTAGTAAATGAAATAACAAAAAAATATATATATTAATACTACTCAATTTCCACAATAGGAAAAAAAATTGACAAACACAAGTTAATCAGACTTTCACAACATTAAAAACATGCATAAAGCTCAAGTTTAATCACAAAAATCGTTTACTTGAATGCAATAGTAATAAACATAAACATTGCTGCCTCAAATATTGATTAAATAAAATTTTAATAAGACTTGTAAAATTTAAATGCAAGAGGAAAAAAACAATACTATTTTCATATGATTTTTGTAAAATGAAGAGTTTTTTTAAAACATAAATACTATTATTATTTTGTAAATATTTTTGTTATACTACTATTGAAGATGAAGAAGAGAAAGACTTCCAAAAAGGAACGAGGTTTTCATCTCTAATTTTAGTGATTTTGCTCCCACCCAATCAACCTACACATCCAATATTTTTCTAAATCTATAATGTAAGTAATTCATCAAAAATCATGAACTTAATAAATTCATAAGTTGACTACTGGCAGTGCACAAAAGAATCAGAATAGCAATTGAAAGTAATGAAGCAAAAATATACAAGTTGAAAATTGGAAATACACAAAATAGTCAAGAAAAGAACTGAAAGTTGTTGATAAAAAATATTCAGAGATATTCCACATATCACTAAGAAAAATTGAAAAAATTAGTGTAAAATTGATATTGTTTAAAGAAACTATACCTGAATTACGTAGAAATTGCCATTACCAAAAGATTACACTGTTGTCCTACATCATCGGAACGTAGAAAATAGTGTCAAGCACATCTGAAATATTATCATGTTTATCTTATGTTTTTATTAAAAGATAAATGCTAGATAGATCCACAAAGGATACAAAAAATAGGCCACCTAGTGTCCTCTAGCACTTCATACAAAAGACTATTAACAAAAAGAAAATGTCAATACCATGGCATGCTACCAAATATATTGTTCGCTTCTTGAAATCAAATTGTTCTTTTAGACGTTAAAAAAGGACAAAAACATAACCACAAACTGGTTTGAACATAAAATAAATTAACTAATGAAAATAAAAACAAAAAATGATGGCACATAGTATTCCATGTTATTAAGTTTGAAGATTTGATTGTATCAATTCAAGTTCTTCCTAAAATTCATTAGTATTTAGTATCCACCTTTCGATATTCTATTGAAGGTAATAAAAGATTTCAATCGATGAATTGATGCCTCAAAGAGCTCTAACCAAGTATCTTTTTTAATGAAAAAGTATATAACTAAAGTAATTCTTCAAATAAAGATTTCATGTCTCACCGTATATTACAAAAAACCAATTTTCCCCAGCTTTAGTTTCTTGTTGCATTTTCCCACTTCTCCATTTTTATGACTTTTATTGTTTGAAGTGGTATCCAAATATAAAGATGGTCAAATACTTCCTGTTTTCCTTTTTCTTTTGTTCTCGAATCTCGATGAGTTCCTTCTTCTCCATTTAGAATTAGTAAAGTAAAGACAAGAGAAGGCAAATGATTGAATTAGGTTTATAAGGTTTGGGTAAAAAATTTAAAATCACCTCAACTTTAAAAGCACGAGGCTCAAATTTGAGATCCTTGCATAGGAAGTTATGAAATCACATAGTACATACATATTCGAAAATTTTATACATAGAAGCACAAAACATCAATTGGACCAAAAAAATAATAATAATAATAATAATTTCAAAACCCTTACCTGACAAAGATCTCTCCACCACAGCCTTCGATTCCACAAGATAACTAATGTAATCTAACCTATACACATAAACAGCAAAAAAATTTAGTTCAAATCTAAAAAAAAAAAAGTGGAAGCTAAAATCGTCCATAATCTACAATACAAATAAAAAAGTTTCTTTGTAAAAAAATATTACCGGTGTCTAATTTCTATACTATTCCAAAGGTGTTTTCTCGTTTTACAGAGAAGCAGAGATAAATAATGAAGATAAACAATGAAGAAGAAACACGACAGACGAAAACAATTTTCGTGAGAAATGATTTAGATAAAGCAGATTGGAATCAAAATTCACATTATACATTTTACAGACAATGATAGACTGCATTTATTATATAAAAATTGAAAAGACCATGACACCCTAACTTTAATAATCATTTTGTCAAAAATACCCTTAACTTAATGCTTCACATTATTTTCAATCAATTTTGATATTGAGGATAAAGTGGGAATTCATAACATTTACCAGCACCATGCCATAAAGTCAAATTTGTAACAAATAATTTTCCTACTCACTGAAATTGAGAAATGAATGTGGGCCCACAATAATTGTACAAGGGCGGATGTAGAGACAGTAGAAAAGTAGTAAAAGAAGTAGGCTATGTGGTCTAGAGAAGAAAGCATGTCCCATTTTCTTACATTAATAAACTACTGTAGCAAAATCGGATAAGTTGGATGTAGTGTGAAAAGCAATGTGACATAAATGAATAGTAATATTAAAGCCTTTATTTTAAGAGGTAGTAGATATCCATATAGAAAAATCATATATTCGATGAGGAAAAATAATTCTGTCTTTACCAAATCAGAAATAAATTGAAAACTCCTAGTCTGCTTTCCATAACGATAAACAGTCAATGGCTCCTTCCTTAAAGCCTGCAAAAGATGATAGGTTCTTAGTATAATTGATTTAACTTCATAATAACTCGAACTGGCGGGATAAGTTACAGGTCAAATTATTATTCTAAGTTGTAATCTTAGAATTAGCATCCGACATCAGTAGACCAGGAGACTGAAATGGTGCAGGGGCAGTCTGATCGTCGAGGAAATGTAGAAGATGGAAGTGTTATTGGTTTGGGTTTTTTTTTTAAAAGAAGTGGGCTTAAATTGTTTCGGGGCCCCTTTTTTCATAAGATTAGGCCCATTGGTAATGGTCCAAAATCCAAAACCCTGGTTAATCAGATTGAATTATCGACAAATTCAATTTTCACCAAATTTCCCGTTTCTCTTATTCTCTCTGCATCGCCCCTTGCCGCCGTTGCCCGTGAACTTGCTTGTGAGTCTGTGACCTGCCGTCTGCCGTGCCGCCTACTGCCGCCGAATTCCTCCACTGGAATTTTAGTATGTAAGTCTATAATTTGTGCTAAGATTGATTTGGAATTTTGGTTTCTACTGGCTACTCTTCATTTTTCACTGGGGTTCTGTTTTCTTCAGCTTACAATAGTGATTATTCATTTGGGTTGCTCTTCTGTTACCCCATTTTTGTTCTTTCTGCTCCGCGCTTTTAGAGGCTTGAAGCATTTAGTGTTGATATAAATAATTCTCGAGTTTGGAGCCATTGGGTTACGATTTCGATTCTTCAATTGCGGAAGGTTTCTTGGCAACACCTTGTTTTACTTTGAATTTGAACAAGAAACGTCATTCTAGATTTCAAATTCAGTGTTTAGCTTGTGAGGATTCGGCTACCGCATCATTATCTGTAGAATCTGTTAAAATGAACGGAATTGTTAATGGAGTATCATCTTCTATTTTGAAGGAAAAGGAGGAGACTGATATGCTCTCAATTGAGTTGGGGCATGGTCATAGGGGGTTCAGATGTAGAGGAAAAGAAATTTTCATAATTTTGGATAATGAATTGTGTAGTTACTTCTAGAGAGGTGACACACATATACTTCAAACGTTCTGTATTTTTTGTTTAATGAAATTATAAATTTTTTAAATCAAATTCGAAAGTGATATTCTAAACTTAAAAAGAACGGAAATACTGTGATTTGTGACAAATAGAAATAGTATGATTTGTTCCATGGAAAAATAAGCGACCGTGATCGGTTAATTGTAAATTATTAAATGTGACCATGTATGTCTTAACATTTGTAATTAATAATTCTGTGATCATGTATGTCTTAACTGTGATTGTGTATGATCAAGTCTGTAATAACTTAGAATGTTTCAATGTCATGCTTGTGAACTAGTGTTTATCAGGTGAAATTTATAACTAGATAAAGTTAAAGAAAAGAAATATATGACAAAATTTATCAAGTTGTTGTATCATTAAATTTTTATTTTTATTTTTAATTTTGATTTAATTATTTAAGAACTTTATATTTGAGTTTAATTGGGCTTATTGGGTTCGAGTATGGGCCAATCTAGATTCTAGAACCTCATCCCATTCCCGCTTCTTTGTTAAAATCTATTTCCCATTGGTGATTGAAGTAATCTTTTCTCAATGCGACTTTTACATTGAAACCCCCAATATAAAACCCTTTCTTCAAGAAATCGTAAACCCTAATTGATTGGAGTTACCCATCAAGAGGTACTCTTGAATTCTCGTACTTCTCTATGCAATCGGTGATAATTGCATCCCTATTTTTCTAATATTTTGGTTTTGTGGCAGTTTAATCGAGTGAAACTCAGTTAGAGACATGGCTCGTTTCAGAAACGTAAGCCACGAAATAATATACTTGTTTATATACAATTGATTTTTCTTATGCCTTATGTTGTACATTATGAATTGTAAATGTAGAAGAAGAGAAAACCGTTTGTTAGGCAGATCACCAGGAAGCAGCCAAGTGTGGATCATATAACTGGAGACAAGATTCCGAAGAGTTTTGTGTTTTCTAGGGGGAAATTGCCTGGTCCTCTTCGACAACTGCAGATGGATTTGAGAAAATTGATGCTTCCTTTTACTGCTCTCAAGCTCAAGGTGAGCGCCTTGGAATTCTATGGAAAATTCTATAAAGAATTGATTAGCACATCTGTAAAAGTTGCAAGGATAATTACTTGGAAAAATAATCTTAGTAGCTCTATAAACAAATTGAAAATAATAATAAAAGTATGTAACAACGAAGGAACTGAGGTTTTCAACTAGTACAGCTGACAGCTCACTTGAAATTTGGTACTCGATACTTGTAGAAAATTGAATCTTTTAGAGGTTGATATACTGCTTTTCTTAATTCCCAAGCCCTCAATGGAATTATATAATACCAATTCATTTTATGTTAGGCTTGTAATTGTTATCCATGAAGATAAACATCAAACATTCATGAGATGAGGTACTACATTAAGATAAAGTGATTGCTCAATGCCAATGTTTTATATTATTTTTCAACTCGTATATTATTAAAAATGAGGATATGCATTAGCATTAAAGTTATTTTCCCCCTTTTATTTCAGTTTATACGGCTGTAATTCTTGTATTTGGTTGTATTTAATAACGGTGATTTTTTTAGTACCAACAGTATTGTTGCAAGATACAATCAAGAGCATGATTCTTGAAGCTTTAGATGCATAGTGAATTCTGTCTGATCTTCAGTTTGCTAACTTGATATTCATGTGATCACAGGAAAAAAGGCGAAATAATCTCAAAGACTTCTTGAATGTTTCAGGGCCTATGGGTGTGACACATTTTCTCATTTTGTCTAAAACTGACTCGGCGCCATACTTGAGGGTTGCTAGGACACCCCAGGGTCCAACGCTTACATTTAAAATAAATGAATACTCATTGGCAGCTGATATTGCTCAAAGTCAATTGCGTCCGAGATGCCCCCAAGATCTTTTCAAAAACTCACCCTTGGTAGGTTCACATTAATCCTCGAACAAAATTGAATGCTGTGTGCAACCAAAAGATGTGCATACATCTATCTCTTCATGTCTGACAAAATGTTGGAACCTTTGGGTGCTTTATGTTATGTTCACATTCATATACTGACTGCTGGTATTTTATTTTATTTTTTGCTCGTGTTCCTCATGGAAGTATTTCTCGTGTTTGAATGTTGTAGATTGTTCTTTCTGGTTTTGGAACTGGGGAGCAACATCTGAAGCTCACTACTATAATGTTTCAAAACATATTTCCTGCCATAGATGTGAACACTGTCAGTGAAGAAACTCCCTCACTCAATTCTAATTATAGCTCAAATGCAGCTGTGTCTCTTATAATTGTATATATTTCAGGTCAATCTTTCTTCATGCCAAAGGATTGTATTACTGAATTACAACAAAGAGACGAAGCTTATTGACTTTCGTCATTACTCTATTAGATTACAGCCTGTTGATGTTTCACGTAGAATCAGGAAGTTTGTGCAAAACCATCAGGTGCCTGATTTGAGTAATCTTCAAGATGTGAGCGATTTTGTGACAAAGTAAGCTCTCTCTCTCTCTCTCTCTCTCTCTCTCTTCCCTTCTCTCTCAGACAAAAGGAAATGTGCTTGTACTTTGTATCTTGTTCTCTGTCGTGTTTTTTATAGATGACTTTGGGTTCATTGCTTGAACATGCCTCTGACTATTCCTTTTGTCCATTCCTGATCGAGTCAATACTTAATATTTGGACTCTACTTTTCATATTATTCGTCGTTATTACCCTTTTTGATTTTGGATTATTCTATAATGTCAATTATGTCCCTTCTCTCTCAGACAAAAGGAAATGTGCTTGTACTTTGTATCTTGTTCTCTGTCGTGTTTTTTATAGATGACTTTGGGTTCATTGCTTGAACATGCCTCTGACTATTCCTTTTGTCCATTCCTGATCGAGTCAATACTTAATATTTGGACTCTACTTTTCATATTATTCGTCGTTATTACCCTTTTTGGTTTTGGATTATTCTATAATGTCAATTATGAAAGCCATGTTGGGGGGAGAAAATGTTACGAGTTGTCATATACGTTATCCTCATTTTTGGGTAACATATCTCCTGTCTTCTATGTAATGTTGGAGTAATTTTTTCGGTTTTGTCTTCTGTGGCTTATGGAAATGCAATGCCCTTTTCATTATCGAAGTCTGTTGGAAGGTTAAGTGACATGACGATCTTAGGAATAATGGGACAAGACAAGCTTTTGTAGGATTTTATCTCTTAATACTAAAGTGAAATTTGAGTGGAAGTGACTTTTGAACTTTTGTGCGTGAAGTTAAATTCTTTTTGTAACTTGATAATGGGGGAATTCCTAAAGAAGATTACATATTTTGTAATTATGGATAGACAGATTTGGCTATTATGGGGTAAATATTATTCCAACTTGCTTATATTCGTTGTTGCTTTGAGTAATTAAAATGTATTAGCGATTGTTTTCCTCTTATGGTTTAGTTACTTGTTACGATGGTTCTATGAAGGGCTGGTTATGGATCAGAAAGTGAAGTGGATGATGAAGCTGCAACTGTAAGTCTAGCAACTGACCTTGGTAGAGTTAACCGAGCTTCTAATAAAAGTGCTGTTAAGCTTCAAGAGATTGGACCTAGGCTGACACTTCAGCTCATCAAAATTGAGGAAGGACTGTGTTCTGGAGGAGTAATATTCAGCGAATATGGTATGCTAATCTCAACTGAAAAAATTTCTATCAACTAGTCAGCTTAACGAAGTTCAGATATTCAAGAAATCAGTCATCTTGCATCTGGACAGGAATTTAAAAAATAAAAATAAAAATTCCTACGTTGTTCTTTAATTGGTCAATAAGCGGACAAGTCTGAATTGCAATTTGCAGCTTCAGCATTCCGTAAGCTTTAGTGTCATTTATTGGTATGTTGTAGACATGCAATAGGAGTAGGAACATGCAAATTATGAAAGCGATTTGATTGTTTTGAACTCTCCCAAAGGTAATTATGGATAATTTTTCAGTTCTCTCCTCTTTGTTTACGGGTGGAACATAAATGAAAAAGTGTCGCAATGCTTAAATCTTCATGCCTCTTTTCGATAATGTTTTCTCTGTTCATCTCAAACTTGTGATATCGACTGGTTTGGCATGCTTCGTTTTCTTGCTGACATTATTTTATTTTCAAATCCGATATTCGAATAAATTCATCATGACATATGATTGCATTCAATCACGTGTAGCTTGTGCGTTGATTCTTTATTGTTGTCATTTGGTCCTTCCAGGAAATCACGGGTCTTATAAAAACCAGAAAACTGATGATGAAGAGCGAGAGAACGAGGATGACAGGGACGAAGAGCAAGAGAGCGAGGAAGAAAAAGACAATGGCGTGGAAGAAGATTAGTGAGTAAGTGTGCGAATTCATGTTAATTGGTGCAGCTCTCAACATCTGTAAAGCGGATGTAACTTTCTTTCCTTGGTTGCCGTTTCGGCTTTTTATTGTTTGCAATACCATTTGATAAATTAAATACTATAATTTTGTGTTACTTGGCCTTTGCCAATCTTTGATTTGTTTATATTTGTGAGGTTTAACAAATGTTTTCAAATATTAACTTGACAATCGGATTACAAAAAGAATGGAGTGGTTGACGGAATTATACAAATGTTTATACATGCTCTTCTATTATTAATTCGAATTTGTCTAGAATCTTTTTATTTTATTTTATATTTATGAAAAATAACATTAAAATGTAAATCTAAGTAATTAAATGGAGTTGTAGATTGGAATATTGTAAAACTAGTCGGATTATGCAAGGCATATGGCCGAACCATTCATTTAATATTTATTTATTTTCTCGTTGATTTTCTAAAAAGAAAAGTAAGATAAAATGAAGGTCGGCATTGATTACGGTTAGAAAAGTTGGCCCTTAACGAAATGGTAAACTTCTAAGACGTAATTTTTTGGGTAGAAAATGTTGGAAAATTACACCGATATTGTGGGTATCATATTCACAAAGACATGTCATTTATGTTCATGAAATCTAAACGCAATATCGTCTTATCGAAATGGATTTGGGAAGATGACACGATAGATTCAATCATTTTCTTTCTTTTTGTCAAAGCTAAATGAAATTAAAAGAATGTTATTAATTTTCTGAAATCAAATACGAATAAAGAAATCAGAAAGAATCAATGTGAGATGCGAGTGATGCGATCGACCGAGGGAAGTGTTAGACACTTTGTCCTTAAAATGAATTTGCCCCGCATTGGTGCTAACGGTTTTTTGGCAATCATCTCCTATGATACAACGATCACGTCAAGTCATAGGAGCACTCCAAATGATTTTCACCAACGAACTCGAACGGAGTTCCTTCTCTACCATAACCATGACTTTGATGCAAGTGTTTTATGCAAACTAAAGTGTAAGCATGGAATGGAATGATATGGAACTATCTATTGACTTTCATAGATTTCTTTAATCATAAAATTCAAACATATAGGCTCTCTATATAGTAGTTGAAAAGATATGTCAAAAGATACAATCATACCAAGAGTTACATCTCTTAGAATTTATTTCTATTCATTAAGAGACACAATTATTGGAAATTAATCATACCCATACTAAGAGTCATGATCTTTCATATGAAAAGACACATCTTTTCATCCACATATTTATAGAATATTCCACAATATTCTATACGATTTTTCAACAATTTCAAGTATTAAGTGGTTTACATTTGGTTTAATTTTTCATTCACCAAATAACGAATTCCACTTAAATAATCATATGAAATTGGTCACAACCAATTTTCGATACAAAATTCCAACAGAAAAATTGTGCACGCTGTCTAAAAAATAAATGTAGCTTGTTCTTTGAATAAATAATTTATTTGTACTATATTTTAAAATTTAAAACTTGATGATACATGAAATTTCTAACAATGATGGATAAAAAGAATCGAAACTTGTGATCTCCAATACCAAAACTTTACTTAAAAATTTAATTGGTCATTAAAGAGAAATTTTAATTACAAAAATATGGACGGGCTAATAAAAAAATCCAAAAAAACTAATGTTCTTTGAATAAGCTTCAAAATTAATTTAGGAATTACATAATCATCTAATAAAATCAAATTGCTCCAATTGGAGTGACTCAATAGACCTGTCTACAGAAATTCGGTTATTAAAAGCTCCAAAATCCTGCATCGAGCTTTCCAACCTCATCCCCTTGGATGCATTAGACGATAATGTCATCAACATGAATTTGAACCTAATGAATGAAGTTCGAATGAATTGTTACGTTCTTGAATGTAGTTGGTAATTTCAAGTCAATACTTATTAAAATCTCCTCATCTTGATGACCCACAATTAGGACCATAACTGCACCAAGTATAAAAAAAGACAATGGCTATCTACATTGCAATGCAGGCACAAGACGTCAGAATTAGTGTTTCCATATGTCACGAAATTTTACTAACAATAGCAACTCTCTTTACTAATATAACACTAGTCGATGCCACGTGCGTTGTACGATTATTGTATTTAATATGTCTTTATTAGCGTGATGTAGAGATTTTAGTTTTCTTGTCATAATCCTAACATGCTTTTGAATTTTGAATTAAATTTTTTAGCATGATTTTTTTCTGACAATTAGTAAAAATTAGATTTAAAATTGTGAGAATATAAGTGGAAGATAATTTATAATTTTATGGGAGTCAGCACGCGGTTTTGCGGACTCTGCCTGTGCGGAGACTCTAGACCAAGATTGCTACAAGAAGCCATACTTCACGATTTTTGCCAAAATTGATAATGCATGACATATACAAGAGACATAAATGAATTAACAAGCTAATAAGCATTTTAATTTACATTAAACCAAGAATATACCTCTCTATTCACACAAATCCAAAATTGTGAATCGAATAAACAAAATTATAATTATCAGATAAAATCGAGGATATACCTCTCTATTCACTCGAAATAAAAAAATTTGCATGTAGAATCTTTAATAAACAAAATCATAATCTGAGAAAAACGGCATGCCAGGATTTACCTCTCTATTTATGAGAATTTTGCACGAAGAGATTAATCACAGAAAAAACAAGAGAAGAATTGAAGAGGAAGTGATAGAAGAAAATAATGATGATGAAGAAGAAAGCTTGTGTCTGAGTTTGCGTGGGGAAATGACTTCACTGTCCTTTTGAGTAAGAAAAAATGGATATGACTGATATCTACAGTGAAATTACTGTTTAGCTGCAATAGAAGTCTCGAACACTATTGTAACTACAGTGAATTTTATTTAACTTTTCTATAAGTAGTTAGAAACAAGAGTATGTGAAGAGAGAGATCCATTTTTTTATTTTTTATTTTCTTTTAATTATGCTTATGGATTACTTAATATATTATTGACAAAGTGACCTTTTTGCCCTTATTTGAGTTCCATTCTTCTAAAAATTTATTTTTTTAAAATTTATTTTCAATTACACGTTTTTCAGTAAAATAATATTACACGCAAATTCAAAATATTTCATCAACTTTTAATCATACATTCTTTATTAATATATTATTCAAAATGTATTTTTTCCCCCAAATGGGGCTCAAATAAGGGCTTTATAAGTGTTTCGCGCGGGTAGTCGCTAACAATTAAAAAAAGAATCAGACAATTGTGTAAGGAACAGACCTCTTGAGACAAAGTCCCAAAAAAGGGTGTTTTATTGGCGATGATTTACAATTAAAAATAAACAGAATGCCTCCAAGGGGCGTAGTCACACGAGTACTAAAAGAAGTGTTTAAATTTAAGCTAAGAAATTAAAATTACATATTTTCTGTTTGAGAGTATTTGAATTGGACCCTTTTCTCTATGTCTTCTCTTCCTTTTTATATTCCCTTGATAATTTCCTCGTGACAAACCACTTGAAAACTGCTTGATTTCTTTATAACTACCCACTTTCTTTATGGTGGCTAACTTGTCGTGGAACTGCCGTCTCTAACTGCTGCCATTACTCTTTGTCATTCAACCTCCTTCAACTGGGCTCTTTGAGTCGTGAAATGTGATAAGATTACTCAATAACTGCTTCAATAACTACTATTCTGAATAATCATAATATTTTATGTTTGCTAAGATCTTGAGCGATTCGAAGGTTTGGGCGAAAACGGGGTCATCGCTCTGGGCGACCGTAAGGCACTCCATCCGCTCAGATTCTGGGTGTCTTGCAAGCTTGGGCGATGATGTTACTGTGTTCGTGGGCTTCCACTGCATTCATCAATAATCCTGTTTGGACATTTATCCTGGACTCTCTAATTGGGCTTCACTCTTTGGGCCATTTGATTTGGGCTGCACTTTTAGTGTGTCAACAATTACCCCCCAATATGGCAGAATTAATACCAATTATTAATCTTTGTCATATTCACTTCGTATTTTCCAGCAACATTTGAAATTCCCAAGAATTTCGATCATTATTTCCTTCTATAGCCTGAAAAGGTGCAACGTTACAAACCCTTATAAACCTAAAAGACACGTCATTTCATCGCACCACTAAACCACGTCTCTATATTTCGCACATCCTCCTCACTATTTTAACTGTTCATCTTCTTGCTTCTCTGCTACGTTTCTCAGGCAAATCTTAACAAAACTGTACTTTGCACCCAACGGCGATTTCACAAACTCAATCTGATGATTCTTTTAGTTTCGAAGATTTCCAGAAAATCCTTACTAGGCCGTATGTAAATTCAAACTTCCTTGCACAAGCCAATGCTAACCTCAATCAATTCTATCTGGGTCCATCATTTAATAATGTCGAAGCCGTTGGACAAGTGGCGGTGGGCCAGCTGTTCCCTTACACTCAAGACCCTCCGTTCCTAAACTCGCTGCCATTGAGGCCGATTCGCGAAAAAAGTATTCACACTTGGCCCAAAGCTGATGTTATTTTTCGTAGATGGCATGCACGTCTTGTAAATCATGGCCCTACCAAGGCGATTTTTGATCGTGCTAGGATTTTAGACTTATTCGAAATCGCTCTTCAACCCCCAATTTTCGACCCATTGCTTTTTTCGATTGCTTTGAGTTTTTGGTCTTTTGAATATAATACCTTCGTTTTCCCTCTTGGTCCCATGTCTATTACTTTAAGGAACGTTGGAGCCCTAGTAAATCTTTCGCCTTTGGGCGATACCATCTTTCCTGGTATCTTGATTTCCAGTGTTGGCTCGAAATTTGACAAGAAACTTACTGAGTCCTATTCAAGCATGCAAGGATTTTATAATCATTCGAGTGCTGAATCTTCCCATACTGAGCGTGTGACATTTCTTCAAATTTAGCTCTGTAAATATATTCTCTGCGTGCCAAGTATGAAACCTTCTATGAGCTACTTACCCATAGCGCATGAATTGGCGCATGGTAGGTCTTTGAACTTATGTTCCTTCTTTTTAGCTGCGTTTTATAGAGGCATGACTTCTCTTCAATCTCAACTGAAGAATGGTGCATCTCCCACTGGCAGTGGGCCCCTTTGATTCACCCAACTGTGGTTGAGAGCATACTTTCCACCACTTGGTGCTCCATCCATTTCCCTTATAGGCACTTCTTCTTTTAAACAATCCACCTTGTTGATTTCTCGGCCAATATTTTGTTCCAACTCGAACACTGTCAATTTGTCTCACAATACTTTCAAGGCTG